GTGTGTGTGTGTGTGTGTGTGTGTGTGTGTGTGTGTGTGTGTGTGTGTGTGTGTGTGTGCTGTTTGTTGTACTCATAGCGTACTGTGCTATGGCTCTGTAACATCAAGCATGCCACACAATCACTCAAAAGCACTGTATGCTACCCATTTGTCACATATCTCTGGTTTTACTTGTTAAAAGAGGATTGACAACTATATATTTAATGTTGCTCGCCATTCATACAAGATCTCTGAGCTTGAACAGCTGCGTCACACTGAGGCAGCAAAAGAGAGTTACATTCATCAAGAAAGAAAGAAAGAAAGAAAGAAAGAAAGAAAGAAAGAAAGAAGAAAAGAAAGAAAGAAAGGAAGAAAGGAAGAAAGAAAGAAAGAAAGAAAGAAAGAAAGAAAGAAGAGGAATTATATGCTTTAGGACATCCGTTGAAATTGAAATGATACAGAGAAGATTACCATGGCTCCTGCTCAAGGATGGCACACACGCACACACACACACAAAGAAAGGAAGAAATAGGCAGCACGGAGCATTCATCAATCATCAAACCGACGTCAATCATGTACAACGCAATAGTATGGGAAGCAGTTCTTAGGTTAGGAATCATCAGGAGAGACAACATTGCTGATGGACAGTCACATCCACCACCTCAATGGCTTGATCTTCCTTCCGATGTTTCATCGTTCTCCGTTCTAAGCGTATCCAGCGTAAAGCCTCGTCATCCAGACGCGTTCATCTTCCCTCCTCCTCGTTCCCGGATTAGCACCAACCCATCCCTGGCGTCAGTGAATACATGCCATCGATTTGCAATTGCTCAGACAGCCTGTAAGTTTTGAGCGGAGACGAAACGCCGGCTTCCTCACTGTGGTCTTGACCCGAACAGAATGTACATTGTACAGTCATTATTGTTGTATCTACTATCTAGACTCAAAATTGCGCCAACTATAGCTCTAGTGACCGTACGTTCTATCTGGGGGACGGCGGTAAATGCCTCTGTTCAAACCGTTCTTTCTCCTCCTCCTTTAATGATAATCTTGGCTGTGGGTAGTATGCGATTGGCTCCCACACCGCTCGCCTTCTTTGTTCTTAATCAGTCCATCTAGTGAGAGATCCCCTCTCTGCACATATCATGAAGTGACTCTCCTCTCTCCTTCCATGAAGCTTGTCTCTCCACCCTCCTACGTACTTCTCTCATTACACACACAACCTCCCGACGAGTTGGTGAAAGTCCGACGAAACAGTCTGGCACAATCATGCCCTTTTTTTGTGGAGTTGTGTATAGCGAATATGATGACACAGCCCGGGAAGATCTGCATGTGTATCCCTCTCACGTGACTGATTTGCCAGTGTTGCCTTCGTCCGCATCGTCCAAGCGTCCTCTGTCGTGAATGTACGCTGTGCTGTATGGTCTTTAATCTCAGGGGAGGCAAAGCATGAACAGGAGTCAAAGTGGAGTATAGTGGGTGGCTCAAAAATAGCCTTGAGCCTCCTCCGTATCTGGTACTCGCGTGCAGCCAGGCTTGTGCAGAAGGCGGTGGCGACTCTGTTTAACTGCTACCTTCTTCCGCCGAATACAATGCACGGTCATTATAGCTGTATTTGGTGTATCTTTCAGTCTAGAAACAGCTATAGCGACCTCACGTTGTATTCGGGGGAAGAAGGTAGTACACGGCCCCAAGCTTACAGGAGAGAAACTCGTCGCCTACTCATGAAAGTTTCGGGACTGGGCCGCTGTTGATGATGAACGGCGTTTGTCGTATTTCTGGCCTCTGAAAGTCGCGGTGAACGGCCCGCGGCCGATGTATGGCCGTGTACTGGTGGTTTAAGTGCTTTTCGCTGCCACACTACTCGGACAGCTTTTCGGAGGGACCTGCACACAAACAACACATCAAGACACGCACACAGCCACAACCACAGAGAAGCGGGGAAGATGGAGTGGTACCGGTTCCACTCCGGGACCAACATGTCCTCCAACACTAAACTGTATTTTGATGTCCTCCATGTCCTTCTGGAATGTACCGAACTCCGAAGCACCTCGTCTTTGCCTTTGGGCAGCGCAGCTAAGAGATCGTACCAAATGAGGGAGAATAGAATCAGTGATCGGAGCAATTATAGTGCAGGCCTACGCTACCAGAGTGGCCGGGGACCACTGTCCTGGCTGGGCCAAAAATGATTAAAATTAAAAACAAAAAATCATTTATAGTTTTTTTTTAAATTTAATTTAATTATTCACGTCTGATTTGGCAAAGAATTTCGATGTGACCCTGATGCAAAAAAAGTTGTTCAGTTTATTTTTCTGCACAACGTAGTTTTTTTTCCTCAGATTTTTCCTAAGTGAGGACGCCGCCCGACCGCGCCTGCCCTGCCGGGCTGGGCCCAGCCGGTTGGGCCCGGGTAAAACGGGCAGGAAAAAAACTGCCCAGATTTTTTTTTTTTTTTTTTTTTTTTGAAACCGGGGCCGTTCTGCGCTCGGCGAGAGGACCCCGAATCTGCAGTAAAATTTTGGTCTTGGTGGGGAGATGGGGGGTGCTGGGGTTGGGGGGTGTCTCTGCTGGGGCGCGGATGCATTTTTTTCTTCCTTTTTTTTTTGTAAGGGGTGTGTGTGTATACAAGAGGGGGCGCGCGCGCGCGAGAGAGAGAGAGAGAGAGAGAGAGAGAGAGAGAGAGAGAGAGAGAGAGAGAGAGAGAGAG